CCCCACTCACCAGCTGTCCTGGCCTCCTGTCTCCCCAGCCTCCAGCTGCGGGGTGCCCAGCTTCCCGCCCAGCCTATCCGCCCGCGTGGTGGGAGGAGAGACTGCCCGGCCCCACAGCTGGCCCTGGCAGGTAAGCCTGTGTGGGGCTGGGACGTAGAGATAGAGAGGCTGGTGGGGTGAGGGTCCCAGGGACCCACGGGTTGACACACAGCGATCCCTACCCTCCTGCAGATCTCCCTCCAGTACCTCAAGAACAACACGTGGTGGCACACGTGCGGCGGGACCTTGATTGCCAGCAACTTTGTCCTCACCGCCGCCCACTGCATCAGGTGTGCGGGGATGGTACCCTGAGACCTGGCCATCACCCGGGGGGCGGGAGCCTGATACTCTGCTTTTACTGAGCAGCTTTCCCACACTCCAGGCGCTGGGCTACAGAAGCTACTCACACCCAGTAGCTCATTTATTCAGTCAAGTATTTATCGTGCATCTATTGTGTGCCAGGAACCAGCAGTGAAGACAAAGTCTGTGCTCTCGGGAAGCTGATATTCTTGTGGCAGGCAGAGCGGCAGACAGTTAACAAGATATAACATCTCAGGTGATTTTAAAAAATAATAATAATAAGGTATTGGCCAGGTGCAGTGGCTCACACCTGTAATCATAGCACTCTGGGAGGCCGAGGCAGGTGGCAGGAGTTCAAGACCAGCCTGGCCAAGATAGTAAAACCCCATCTCTACTTAAAATACAAAAATTAGCCAGGCATGGTGGTGGGCACCTGTAATTCCAGCCACTTGGGAGGCTGAGGTCCGAGAATCACTTGAACCCAGGAGGCGGAGGTTGCAGTGAGCTGAGATGGCGCCCATGTATCCAGCCTGGGCAACAGAGCAAGACTCCATCTCAAAAAAATAAAAATAAGGCTAGAAGAGGAAAAACAGAATGAGGGGTTCTATTTTTAAAGGGATGGCCAGGGGAAGAGCTGAAAGGGGGATATTTGGCAAATATTTGGGACATTTCAGAGAGCTAAAAGGGGGTTATCTGGGCAAAGGCCTGGAGGAAGTGAGGGAGGAAATCATGGGTCTAGGGGAGGGGTGTTCCCGGTGGAGGGAACAGCCACGCAAAGGCTTGGAGAAGAGACCTGTCGGTGTGGCTGAGAACTAACGAGGAA